CAATAGAATGTATATAATTAGGTATCGGTATTCTGTAAGTGTACCTTGTTTTATGCACAGATGTTTATTTATTTATTTATTTATTTATTTATTTAGATTGGATTGATTGATTTAGATTGATTGATTGATTGATTGATTGATTTCCTTAACTCTTTTGATGGGTGGGGGTGGTGATGATTTTAAGGAGGGGTCACCCGTTTTCTTCTGGGAGGTAGGAGTAGTCGTGAATGCTTCTCCATTAAAATCATCAAACTCCTCTCCCCTCCCCTGTGATTTTGGTTGGACTTAAGTTTGTACTGCCAAAAAAAAATTAGCTTGCTAATGCTATTGTTATCTCATTGAAACTGACTGTTGCTATTTTTTTAACAAGTATAAAACATTAACTGAGTTAATGTATCTTGGTTGGATGTATAATACAGTTTCCCAAATATGACCAAATATTGTGATGCAGGTATGATATACATGTATGGTAGTTCACCTTGTCCAAGCATTCCGTTCACAATGGTACAAGAATCTTATCAAAATGTCACACTTATAAAATAAAAGAAGTTGTTATCCATAAAGTTTGTTCAATACAAATAAAAAGCACTTCTATCTTTTTGTACTTCAGAGCAGCCACATATTACCCTCGAGAGGTTAACCGGGATGCAAATCAACAGAATATAATGCTGACCAAGTACCAGGAAGAGGTGTCCCCATCACTGTAGACGACAAGTGATGGCAGTTATCTTGATGGACTACAGGAATGATTCAAGTGCATTCATTATGCAGTTTACTGATTTGTTTGATGTATTTTGATAATTGTTCTGGCATTCTGATGTCAGCTGAGTAACACTTCCATAATGGAGACAAATTAAGGAACTTCTGTTTTTGAAGCAGTAAAATAGTCTCAGCAAGAATTTTATTTATTTTGCCAGCAGAACAGAAGTTTCCATTAATTTTCCCACACAAACATTTTGTGCTTTTCTGTTACCCATTTGTGCTTATTGTCCTGCTGAACAATTGGACCACCTTTTCAGTGACATTTTTTTTACACTGCATGACAATGTGATTTATATTAGAGACACACTTTATGGATAACAACTTCTTTTTACTTGGAGTGCGACGTTTCGATACAGATTCTTGTACCGTTGTCAAGCATGACAAGAATATGTATCGAAACGTCGCACTCACGAATAAAAAGAAGTTGTTATCCATAAAGTGTGTTCTATATTGTACTTCCCAACTTCTAAAATGCCACTCAAAGAAGTTAATGTGATTTATAAGTATGATTTGATGGTTTGATATTAGTATATGTGGCATGTAGTAAACAATGGAATAGTAAAGTTATGCCATATTTCTTGTATTTCATGATACTGGCTGTTATATTACTTTTGTGATAGTTAGTACTTAATTAAGGCTGCACATACTGGCAACTAAGTCTCTGCATGTCTGCCATGGAAGGCATGTAAAACTGTTGCCCTTTGCCAGAACGAAGAAAGTTTTATATGTGTAATTCATGATATGTGAATAATGTCTGACATGTGATGTAACATCTAAATATTTAATGTGTATGCTGTTAGTCTTAGAAAAGAAAAATTATTACCCCATCTTGAAATATTCAGCTTTGTCAGTTTTTGTTGCTCCAGATTTTGCCATATTTTGTTTCTGGAGGACATTTTGTGAAATGTAGTTACCTATCATGAGTTCATACCAAATCATTTGATAAAGGTAATAATTTATAAACAAGATGTGCAGCCCAGTGAAACAGTGTTGTTTCCGTAATGACTACAACACAAAGATTAATGAGATTATTCTTCATTAGTCCCGGGGAATTGTTTTGGTAAAATGTTCATGTCACAAGACAACACAGGTTCTAAGAAGGAATTCACACATGCATAATTAAACATGACATGTGCCTTCTTCTTTCAAATGGATACCCTGTTCTTTGAAGGTTTTGGTCATTATCATATTAAAGTTGATGTCAGTGTTCATGTAGCTGTAAAACATGTTTCACTTATTATTACTCATATATGATGCAAGGTATTCCTTATTTTCATGTCTGGTTATAATTACTGCCATGTTTAATGTTAGTGCTATGTCAACATTCAAGGTGACATTTGAGGTGATTGTGAGTGAGTATGGTTTTACACCACTTTTAGCAATATTCCAGCAATATCACGACGGGGGACACCAGAAATGGGCTGTACTCGTGTGGGAATCAAAACAGGGTCTTCTGGGTGATGAGCGAACATTTTAACCACTAGCTATAGGCTAACCCCAAGTCAATATCATAGACTTGGTTATTGTTGGATTTTAATCAGTTGTATGGTTTTAAATTATTCTTGTAACACTTGAAAATACTTTAAGGAATGGGGTGTAGGGGATGCTTCTGTTTATGAAAATATTTTCAAATAGCTACCTTGGTTTGTTTACTAGTTTACATTTTCACAAATATGATGGGTGTAATGTTCAATGCCATATACATGTAACCTCCACGTATTTACACATTTCACGTTGGTGAGCCAATGGCATTACTTCAATTGTTTGTAAGAGTCTTTTCAACAGACATAAAGATATGTGTGTGAACCAACTTAATGAGTTCGGTACTACATATAATTACATTTCATAGTATTCTTCTAGCCTGTCCCATTTCAAGACAGGCTGCTCTGTATTTTAGTAATAAAACATCTTTAACAAAACTCATTTCTTTTTGTCATTTTATGGGGAAATCTGACAATGGTCAGTTTTTATCTGGTCAGCTGATGCTCTACAACATTTCTGAATACACAAACAACTAACACCATGCAGGATTTGATGGATGTCTATACTTGGACAGAAAATGTCCACTGTGACATGATCACATGCTTGTCTATGTTCTGCTGCATAAACTTATGTGACGCCACAGGCATTGGTTTGACTCCCTACCCCAATGCAAATATATACAGTTGATGCCCTTGATTGGGATGTGACTGGTATGATACTGATGGAGGCATCATAACCAACTTCCTCTCATTTCACACTATTTCAAAGATGTCCCAAATGTTTAAACTTCAGATATCTTAAGAATCACATAACACATTTGCATCTTTTACCTTTAGTAAACAGTGCTAAAGGTGTCCTGTATACATTGCGTCTCATGCATACTGTATAAGCACACCTTATTTCAAGTTTAGACCAGACCAATTCTATTTCTTGTTTTACGTATCCTCCGGTTGTATTTTTCAAGAATACGAAAAGAAATAAAAGTGAATTTTCCCCGCTCAAAATGAAATCCTAATGTTTTTATTGGTCAAAATGTAAACTTACAAGAAATTCTTCTTAGGACAAAAAATATGTAAAACAAGAAATACATTGGTCTGGCCTTATTGATAAAGAACATGGCACATAACCCAAGAATTGATTACCAACGACCAAATTCAGTTCCAACAGGGAAGACCTGCAGACAACCCCCACCCTGCTAAAAGTATGGTTTTACACCACTTTTAGCAATATTCCAATATTATGGCGGAAGACACCAGAAATGGACTTGAAACATTGTACCGATGTGGGAATCGAACCGGGCCTGCGGCATGATGAGAGAACACTTTAACCACTAGGCTACCCCACCCCACCTAAAAGAGTAGAATTCACACTCTCACAAATTTCCTAAAGTTACACACTCACCCTGTGTGCATAGTGGTAACAAAACAGGCTCTGTCATGACGAAGATGTATTATATTTTTTATTCTACAGTTTATGAATGTACTGATTGATTAAAGTAAAGTGCAATTATGACTTGACAGATTGATCAACAATCATCTAGAATGTGGGTGACACACTCCCTTCCTCTGTCAAACACTTTGAAACAATGCTACATAACTGAGAGAGAGAGGAGAGAGAGAGAGAGAGAAAGAGAGAGAGAGAGAGAGAGAGAGAGAGAGAGAGAGAGAGAGAGAGAGAGAGAGAGAGAGAGAGAGAGAGAGAGAGAGAGAGTGAGAGGTGTCATCAATTTTGTATACATGCACTTGGTGTGTTTTCATGAAGGAAGAGGGGTGGGGTGGGACTGTTATTCACATTGTACGTGCTTGTCCATAAAAATCATCATCACTCGATACCAGCCCAGCTATACATTATGAACGGTCCCTTGCAAATTTTCGATCGAACTTTTAACAAACATTTGAATATTGCTATATTTTCTTTAATATTTATAAATGGTAGTATGGAAGGAAATGCTGTTTTGTTATGTTGTAGGAAAAATGCACTCTCATTACACGCTATTCAACTTTACACGCCTCAGCAGAAGTATAGACACTTCCGTGTTCAAGAGAGAAGTAGTGCGTACGAAACACGTATGACGTGGTCACATAAGCTCCGCCCACTCATGTTTATTCATGATTTCTGTGCACTTAAGACCATTGTGCGTTTAAGGGCACAACAATCCCCACTGAGAACAGTGATGGTCACGCTGACCCCGGTGACGGGATAGAACAACAACATTAACAGTGCTGTACATAAATTACATTCCTGCTTCGCATAAAATTGGTGTGAAATTATGCAGTTATATCGATAATTAACTAACATCTCAACTGTGGCGGTTCAGAATCTCAACCTGATCTCCAAGGGAGTGCATCCAAGTGGGTTTTTTTGTATTGTGCTACCATGAAAGCTTTGTTTGAAAACTGATATCGTTCACATGGGACAGCAGAATTTGGCTTCACACATTGTAGTCATGTCTGGAATCGAACCCGGGTCTTCGATGTAACACGCGAACGCTTTGTCCACTACCCCATCGCTGTGGATACACAATATTTAGTTTTATAAGTACGACAATGGTTCAATTTCCCATGTATGCACAACCTGCCCATTGTCATTACATGACTGGGACGGTGGCGTAGCCTAGTAGTTAAAGCCTTCGATCGTCACGATGAAGACCCGGGTTCGATTCCCACACTTGGTGGAATTTTAAAGTGAATTAGCTGAAAGAAATATGAATGCCCCCACACACACACACACACAACAACAACAACAACAACACGAAATCATCATATGTACAATTTTATACAATATTTTGATCGCAATATTTACAGGAAAACGTATATACAATAACATGCAACTTATCTTAGACATTTACACTTTGTATGAATACAGTAAGCTAAGGATTGACACAGCACACGTTGTTTCTTAAAACAAATTTCAATAACAAACAAGTTTAAAACAACAGTGATGTTAAACTAACGGACTCCGGAATAGTTCAGCATTCAGCCTATATCTCTCATTTAGCATTAGCGTTATCACATGTCGTTTATCAATTCAGAAGACAAACATTCTCCTAAAACATTCAAGTCGATGCCCAGATACAACTCTGATTCCAAAGACAAAAATACTTGGCTTATATGTTTCACGAGTAATTGATGATTATCCTGTATAGTAGTGCATGTAAATTTGTTCCAGTACTGAAACCTCAAATTCAGACAGCACACACTATTTATTTAGGTCGACGTCCTGATTGTTTAATTTCTCTGTCGGAAATATTTTGAGGTCTATCGTTTAACTCTTATCTTTCCAAACACTGTTTTAGTTGCATCCAGAATACTCGTCTATCCTCCTCCTCTTCTGGCCACGTAATATAGGTAGTCGTCTGGAAGAGGGCATACAGTGATGACGTCATGTTTCGGGACTCAATGTTCTCAAGCAGCACCACCAACAGGTAACCCTCTTCCTTCTCCAGAGCCCGTTTCTGGATCAGACTCAGCTCGAACTGACACCATGGACTGAGAATGAAATAATTGGACAGCACCATGATGACTTTTCTGCTGCTTTCCAAACTGGTTACAATGTTATCAATTATATATTGCCCGGGAATAAAGTCTCTTTCATGGATACACAGCTTAAAGTTGGCTTCGTCTTCAATCCTTGGTATGATATTATTTCTTACCCAAGGCGAATCATCTTCACAGTACAGCACAAACGCGTCATAGACGTATATCGTTTCATCAATTGGCTTCCTTCTTTTGTATCTCAACATGTGGATGCAATAGCGAATGCTCCAACGTAATCTGTAGGCAATGGAGAGAACTACTATAAACACTATTGAAACTAAGGACAGACCAAAGATTATGGGAAACACATAAGGTGAGATTCGACAAGTCTGTTCAGAGATGTTGGCATCAATGAGAAGCGTTGATTTGAGGTTCAGTGGATATCCGCATTGATAGGAATTAGGAAAGTCCGTGAAAATATGTTTGTCTGCCTTTGCCCATGTAATGTACCAAAGATTAGCACAAGTGCAGACATAATCATTTGTTGCCAAATTCAAGTGTGTGAGTTGGTTTCTGATTGGTATTGGAAATACGTCTTCACTGACGATCTGAATGGAATTTTGTGAAAGTCGTATACGTCTTAGTTTCGTCAAGCTTGTGAACACTCCTGAAGGTAAAGACATAATTCGGTTTCCATGAAGATCGATTTCTTTAAGTTCCCGGAGGTTCGATATTACCTTTGGAAAAAATGATAACTGGCACCTTGGCATTCGTAGCATCTCTAATTTTTCAATTCCAAATAAGAGTGTTTCTAAAAAGCTATCATTAAAGTATAGCATAGTATTGTAGGATAGGTCCAGCCATGTTAGTCCCGTGCACCCTCGGAGTGCTTTTGGGCTAACAATATAATCGAAATAACCAAATTTTGCAATTCCACTGAGGTAAAGTTTCTTAACAGCACTGTTATTAAAAGCATATTCCTCGAGTCTTTTTTGGGGAAAGTAACTCCTGAATGCATTGCTTATTGCAATAAACCGAAGGTTTGGTAATGAAGAAAATGTATTTGAATGAATCTTCAATATTAAATTTTCTATGGCATTAAAAAAAATCCAGTTTCTTTAGACATATCAAACTAGCATTTGAGATGTATCTTATTGCATTTTCGCGTATATCTAGTGATTGAAGTTGTGAGATATTTGTATGAACACACAATCCAGGAAGATGGGTCAGTGAGTTTGATCGGAGCGAGATATGAGTCAAATGCGAGGGAACATCAGCTGTTGTCCAAGATATGTCATTGTGAAGAAAGCTTAAAGTTCTTAGTGACTTCAGACGAGATATCACGGAAAAGTTGACATATTTGATTCGACAAAACTCCATTTTGAAAACTTGTATGTTCAGTCGTGTAAGCCCATCTATAAAATCATCTGTAATATTCCGCAAAAAATTGTTTTCTGAAAGGTCAAGAGATCTGAGGTTATTTTGCAAACTATGAAAAGATTTCTGTAGCACACTTTCAGACACACTACTGTATCTAAGATCAAGAATCTCTAGCATCAACATGTCTTGAAATGCGTCTCTGGAGATGTTTGTGATACTGTTGTTGCGGAGTATCAGAATTTTCAACTGGGATATATTTCGAAACATGTCTCTAGTTAGCTCTCCAAGATGGTTTGATGAAAAGTTCAGAAACTCCGTTGTAGGTTGCAAGTCTGGAATCTGTGTGAGATTCGCTCCGTTGTTTATACATCTGACACATTTAGCTGAACAGCTACACAGACTTTCAAAACAAGGTCTATACACTTCTCTACATTGAACAGTCTCTCCTTCCGCGTTAGACGTCAATGCTATAGCGCAAGATATTGCACAAATTGTTATCTCCAGAAGACGCGCCATGCCTTTCCCAATAGCTGTGTTAAATCCTCGGACTCTATGACGTAAGATTGCTCCTTATTTTAAATCTGAAATTGGAAACAAGACCCATGATAACTCCTGACACTTCTTGGACAGCAGCCATTGATACTACTGATACGTTTTAATGTGATTTTGTTCTGTATAAATTGTATAAATGCAACAACGTACCACAACACTTATGATTATTAACCCAAATACGGGTATTTACATTCATATCCTAGTTATGTTTGTATGATTATTTTGACCCTTCTGGCACACCCTACAATGAGCTTAATATGCACGTGCTACGATCAAAGGCGTTGTTACGTGTTGATCTCCAAGCTGAAACTAACAGGTTAAGTTGCAAGTCTCTACCATGGTCCACCAGGAGTCCAGATCTCACTCCCATAGATCATGTTTGGGACATCATGGGTCGTAGACCACGCCAATACGATCTTCCAGTACCAAACTTTGATGTCTTGGAACAAGCCGTCCATCAAGAATGGAACGCAATACCTTAACGTCAAACTCAACGTCTTATACGGTCGACGAGGAAGAGGGTTAGTGATGGTGTTGCAGTTGGCGAAGTTACACCACATATTGATACTGGAATCTTGAATACACAATGCCATTTAGAAATATTAGATATTGGAATCAGTTATTGATATTAATGTGATTTCTTGAGGATTGTATTCCAAAATCATGAAATGGTCGCACTTGTTAACGTCATACATGCACGACCACAGTTATCAAACTTAGTCAGTTTTTCAGTCATGCATTTCTGAACAAACTCCAGCTTTTCGTCCTTTTATCGTTTAGGTATAAGATTTTGATTGAATAATTCCCTGAGGGTCAGTTTTTTTCCAGAAAGTAAGTTAAATTGAGGTTTGGTGAGCTCCTTTGCTGTGGTTAACTGTGACATATTAATACAATGAAAATAGGGAGTGTTGCGATATTTACCATTTGTCTGTGTATAGCTGTGTTCAAATTGTCCTGTGCTACTATTGTGCTACTATTATTGCTTTTTTGTATCTTTATAAATTGTGCTGAAAGTACACGTTGATAACAGTTTACAGAAAACAATTAACGGGGACAAAGAGAAAAGAGAGAAAAGAGAAAACAGCCAAGGTAATGCTAATTTTAAAAAACGATAAAAGCGAAATTTACCAAAAGTAAACAAACGCTTCTCAAACACATAGTATGAAGAAGTAACCATTTAAATATGTCGAAGTCAATAATATAATACGAACCTCAGGCAGATTTGTAGAGATAGTTGTAGCAGAACGATACTTCATGTGCGGTGCTCGATGTGCTACATCATCAAATGCAGGAAAATGAAAATGAAAATGCATATAACCCAGGTTCACGTTACAATATTTCCTCCAATAAACTGGAAGTCAAAATCCCTGATTAACGCCAACAGTTTTCACCAATGAGTGCTATTCTTTCTTAGTTTCACAGTGAGTGAGTGAGTGGTTTTACCCCGCCTTTTAGCAATATTCCAGCAATATCCAGATATGGGCTTTGCACCTTGTACCTATGTGGGGAATAGAACCCGTATCTTCTACGTGACCAGTGAACGATTTAATCACTTGCCTACCAAACCGCCATCTTAGTTTCAATCGAGTTTATTTGTTAATGCCGCACTCAGCTGTATTCCAGCTACATGGCGGATGTCTGTAAATATTCGAACCTGGACCAGACAATCTAGTGAGCATCAGCATGAGCACCGATTTACGCAATTGGGTGACATGTGTCAACCAAGCGAGCGAGCCTGACCACTCGATCTTGTTAGTCGCCTCCTGCGACAAGAATGGGTTGCTGAAGAGCAATCCTAACCCGGATCTTCACGGGTCTGTTTCAGTAGAACAGAATGTAAGTGAACCGATGGGTTACAACGGCGAATGTATATTCAATCACATGTTCACTGCTAAGAATAATCAATGATTATATTTTCCTTGATATTTTCGATGTGTGAGCTATGTTGGATTTAAAAATGTGTAACAAAAAAAATACTGTCTACAAAGTGAATGATCGTGGTACTTAGGTCGAAGAAAAATAAAACTTCAATTGTGTGTGTGTGTGTGTGCGCGCGCGTGTGTGTGTGATCGTGCACGCACGAGTGCGGGGAAAGTATGTTTAACAATCAAAATCAAGACATGTTTATTTTTCATTTTTAATATTGTGAAAGTAGTTACGGGGCGGTTGTGTAGTCTAGTGGTTAAAGCCAGATCGATGCTCATGCTGTTGATCACTCGATTGTCTGGTCCAGACTCGACTATTTATAGACCGCCGCCATTTAGCTGGAATATTGCTGAGTGTGGCGTAAAACTAAAGTCACTCACTAGGGGTTAAAGCGTTCGCTCGTCACGCCGAAGACGATTCCCCAAAATGGGTCAAATGTTAGAAGTCATTTCTGGTGTCCCCTGCCAAGATATTGCTGGAATATTGCTGTAAGCGGCGTAAAACTAAACTCACTGAAAATAGGTACTTGAATCCAGCAACTAACTCTGGTCCTCATAAACTGGTTGCTACCAAAGAGCCTTGTGCGTTTATTAGAAGAAATACAATGCTATCGAATAGAACAATTACGGTAGGAAGCCATTTCACATTGTTCTCAAGTGGATGTCCTGACGCCGGACGTGCGTTAACATCCCCACTGAGAACAGTGATGGTCACGCTGACCCCGGTGACGGCATAGAACAACAACATTAACAGTGCTGTACATAAATTACATTCCTGCTTCGCATAAAATTGGTGTGAAATTATGCAGTTACATCGATAATTAACTAACATCTCAACTGTGGCGGTTCAGAATCTCGATCGTCACGCTGAAGACCCGGGTTCGATTCCCCACGTGGGTACAGTGTGTAAAGCCCATTTCTGGTGCCCCATACCACCACCGTGATATTGCTGGGATATTGATAAAAATTGGCGTAAAACCAACTCACTCACTCATTACATGACTGGACAAATACGAAAACGGTTTTAAATCCAAATCTCTTACTCCACACCACTCGGATCACACGTTGGAACAGCACGAAACACTCATGCATTAGGATTGAATTAAAAGTGTCAGCTCTCAGACTGTAAACAATTTTGTTTTCTTCAAATTTGTTTTGCAGCCGATGACATGTGTCATTTGTCTTGAGTCTTACGTTTGAATAGGTTACGTTAAGGTATGATGTATAGGTGTATAGGTGATGTGTGCGAAATAGCCACTGGCCAGCTAGTCCGTGGCTAGTATAAATACAATCGGGCCAGTAAATCTCCAAAGTCACTGGCCCGACTGGCTAGTGAATTTTCATGGGTTTAGTTTTAAATAAAGATCACTCCCTCCGACTTGTTAAGTCATAATACAATTTTTAAATCGTGCAAAATTATGGCGCGATAAATTATGGTATTTTACCTTTTTGTAATCTTTTGCTTAATTTCTACATCAATATTTTGGCCCGACTGGCAAGCAAATTTTGGAAACTATTTCGCACACTGGTGTCATGTGATCAAATGATTAACATGAAATACATTTTGAATATGCGTTCTTCACTATCAGTGAGTGAGTAAGTGAGTGAGTGAGAGAGTGGCTTTACGCCGCAATTAACAATATTTCAGCAATATCACGAGATAATCACGAAAATGGGCTTCATGCATTGCAATTGTACCCATGCGGAGATTCGAACTCGTCCAACGCGTAAACTAATACGCAACCCCACTGCCCACCCCATTTGAAAATATATTACTATCAATGTGAGTGAGTAAGTATGGTTTTACTCTTAGCTTTTAGCAATATTCGCCACGTTTAGCAATATTCCCCTATTTCACACATTGTACCAATGTGGGGAATCGAACCCGGTTTTATGAATGTGATTTATGTAGTCAAAGCATATGAGCAAGAAGAATGTATTAATAATAAATATAGTATTAAACAAGCAGTCGCAGTAAGAGTGCAATGGAGATTTTATTTACAAAATAAATATTTCAATATCACTACAACATATCACAGGCATGCTTTTGTTATTATAATTATATTATTATCACATTTTATGTATGCTTTAGAAATTGGAAAATATCGAAGTGTGTATATTGTGCACGTTCTTGGTAATTGAAACTGTATGATCTGTAACTATATTTTTAGTACATAAGGGGACAATATCAATACAGCAAAACAAACAGAACGTAATGCAATGGTTATTTAAGACGTGATGTCCTCAAGAAAGTTTACGTTTTCAGCAATTTCAAGGCTTGAAACTTCTAAATGAAGTCCATTCAGTATTATTTAGCAATATTTATGTCAAGAAGGCTTTAAAGTAAACAAAGATACAAGATGTCATAACACACAAAGACACACAAAACAAAGAGTGATTCATAAGTCAGGTTTTCTTCAACGGTCAGTAATTCCTGTCGTAGTCGAAGTTGAGCATGTCGCGGTTCGAAGAGCTGTCACCAGAAGAGGGCATACTCTTCAGTTTGGTGACTGCCAGATAGACCAAGGCAACCAGAGCTAGCGTCCCCACGCCGCTGCCGAACCCTACACCGGCTACACTCAGCAGCTTGGTATTGCTCACACGAGGACGTATAACTGTTGTGGTCTTCTTGGTTACAGGATCTGTACACTTGCATGTCATTCTGCCTGAATGGTATGCCTCGATCTGGAAAATAGGAGACATTGCATTATTTTGATCATATCTGCCATGGTGCAGTTGACGCTACAGAATACAAAATAATAACTTCATAGGGGAATGTCTTTGTTGTTAATCAGCGTGATTGTCTCATATACCAAACTGCCAGCGTTCGATGTGTGGTAGTTTCATTTAAGAGACTAAATATTAGTCCAGACGTTAAGTTCCAACAAACCTTCTAAGAACACGAGGACCCAATCGTCTAAGGAGCTGCAGTCCCTGTGCAGAGTTGCGTCACTTGGTTACGCAAGTATTCGTTGACTGCACGTTCGAATAACGGTTCTTCTAGATTATGGTTTATCAGTACAATACCCAAGCTCACGAGTTTCATTAAAGTGGCGACCCATTAAGATCCGGGGTAGAATTGGTCTTTAGCAACCCATGTTTGTCGTAAAAGGCGACTAAACGGGATCGGGTGGTCAGGCTCGCTGACTTGGTCGACACATGTCATCGTATCCCATTTGCGTAGATCGATGCTAATGCTGTTGATCACTGGATTGTCTGGTCGAGACTCGATTATTTAGAGAAATTGAAGGGGGTGACAACCATTATTGGCATGAGTATACTACATGTATCTCATTTAATTATGTCTTTGTTTCCACCAGCCTGAGATCGTCGGAGCCGCATCTTCGGTAGAGTGTCTGTCATTTGGATGCAGCATTCATGTTCTTGTCAAGCCGCCATCATGCGTTACAACGTGGGTACCAAAACAATAGTGTGTATGGTGTGTGTGGTGAAACCGTGTATGACCAGGAAGTAGAGGGCGCTGTAACCTTCATCGGTTGGCTTTGTTCTGTTTGTTCCTTTGCTGTTGAAGTTCATCATTATTCGTGTTTAGGACATGCTTCACTTTTGACTTTACATTAAGCTGTAAGCTCATATAAGTGACACAGAGGGGCGTAAAACCGTACACTATGAAAACTGTAAAATGTTTATGCCCACCGTTGATGATTGATAGCATCTGAAGCTACAGTCATTCATGGAGCAGGCACGCGTGAAGATCCGGGTAAGAACTAGTCTTCACCAACCCATGCTTGTCGTAAAAGGCGACTAACGGGATCAGGTGGTCAGGCTGGCTGACTTGGTTGACACATGTCATCGTATCCCATTTGCGTAGATCGATGCTCATGCTGTTGATCACTGGATTGTCTGGTCGAGACTCGATTATTTAAAGACCGCCGCCATATAGCTGTGATATTGCTGAGTGCAGCGTTATACAAACCAGCCAATTATTAAAATGGCAAATGTTTGAGACATACATCCCGTGATATAACTGGAATACAGTACACTCACTCACTCATATAAAACCATTTATCCTTATTACAAGTGTATACTCTACTCGTGCGTGTCTATAGTGTGAACACATTTGATCATATCAAACAAATTAAAGTGAAAACACTCACCATTTGCTGTTTAGCTGCAAACAAAGATATATAATGAAATTGTCAATAAGAAAACTATTTTGATGAATTAATTTATAACTTGGTTTTTACTATGGGTTTTTACTATGGGTTTACTTGGTTTGGACTATGGGTTAAATTTTAATGGAGAAATGTATTTATGTTGCATCTGTATAAGTAAAATCAGATATTTATTTCATTACAAGTCGAAAGCCTCCACGAAAGATTGAAAAGATGTTTGTCTTGAAGAAGGCTCAAATCGAAAATCGAAATTCATTATGTTATTTTCAGCCTCTTCTGCATGACTGAGGGATATGTTACTCACTGGCTCCAATGCATTGCTTTCCCGGTTCTGCGAGATAGGAAACAAACAAGGAGTTGTTTTAGGTACTTCAATTTAGAACTTGAAAGAATAACGTACACCCGCGCACGCACACGCACACACACGCACACACTCACACGCGTCGTTTTGTCTTTACCCATACAAGAACATTATGATGCGAAAGTGCTTCAAATGACGTCATCTGTTTGTAGCACCTACCATACTGAAATCACTGACGGTCGTAGCGTATACAAACATTGCATGTTTGAGTGAGTGAGTAAATGTTGCTTTAAGACGCATCAACAAATTTTCAGCTCAAGAAACAAATATTTTCCTCTGGAAACTAATGTAGAATAACAGCGATGATGTAGATCACTGAACTTGAACGTGGGTTGTTCGGGTTTCTATGAGCTGAACGGCGTGGCCACCCTCGACTTTCGACCACTTGACATGCTTACCCATTGCTCATATTATCCCTTGTGACCCGTGTAAGACATTTCATACATATCACAGTATCCTGTCAGTAATCGATCAACCAAGTATCAGAGCCTGATCACTATGTCCAATTAGGTCGTGGGTGTTCCCATGGCGTCACGTTCGTTATGAACCAGTGATTGTCGTTATGAAAGACGAATCTTTGAGTCACGCCAACTAGCCTGCCAGATCCATTTCAGACACAACTTACCACAAACAAAGGTTGATAGGAAGCATTACAATCATCTTTACCCTATGATACCATACTTATGGTACAAATGTCTTCAGGCACGCCAAGGGGCGGTGGGGTAGCCTAGTGGCTAAAGCGCTGGCTCGTCATGCCGAAGACCCGGGTTCGAATCCCCACATGGGTACAATGTGTGAAGCCCATTTCTGGTGTCCCCCGCCGTGATGTTGCTGAAATATTGCTAAGAGCGGCGTAAAACCAGTCAGTCAGTCAGGCACGCCAAGTCAAAACATTGATTACACAACAGTTTCGTTTCCTGTTGACTGGGTCCCGTCCTATTGCGCAACTTAGTACAATAACCAGTCCAGAATTTTGAAACCAATTCATTTAACTGGATACATAATTATTAATCAGTATTATTTGATACATCTAATCACTTGTATATTGCAACACTACGCTCCTTCCAATCCTTGCAAAGACGTCGCGGCAGCGTGCTCTGTCTTACTGTGAGCTCTGACAAACGGAAACCTGGAAATCGTGGAAATTTCAAAACCAGGCTCTCCCGCTAGAAGAGTTTGGCGGTCTGGTACGGACTTGATATTATATCAATCACACTGTGCCTTACAGAACTGTGCTGAATAAGTGCGAAAAACACATAACAGGTGTAACCAGTGTGCCAGATGCATTGTGAATTATTTTACCGCCTCATCAAATAGGGACAGTCTGTGACGTCTTAGTTAAGGTCATGCTGCCTACACCTCGCCAAAAAATATACAAATACGGTGTTATTAAAGTTTAAAATTGAAATTTATTTGTAAATACCATTTTCTTATGAGACAAGAAATGGAATTCAGTGTAACCATAGTTGTTTGTGATGTCTATTTTCACTTTCACACGAGAAAATTCGGACCGGCTGAAAAGTAGGTCATTGTCTGAATAGGTTAATGAGACTCATGTTTCGGTTTGACCGTGTGGGGTTCGCGTGATTTGAAACAATAACATACACTGTTGCCCATCCGTATACCAATCGGTGGTGTATGTCAGTGCTGAGCAACAGCCATACTATTCCCTCTACAATTACAGATATTAACAAATACCCACTGTAACGTATGATAAATTTGTGATTACTCTTCCATAGTAAAGTACTGATTCTAGTACTTTTGGAGGCTGAGCCCCATCCGGGATTCGAACCCACACTCTCAGAGTCAGACACCTAGTCGCACCCAACGTAACCATCAGATCCCAATTATCGACGGGTTTTACGTCAACCATGAGGCTCTGGGAATTTAGGCGGAGACTGAATCCTAACTGTGTCCATTCGCTATATAAGATGTATTATAGACATACTACCTGGGGTTGGTGCTACCACATCTACATCCATGCATATTGTTTCAACGTCATTTCTGAAATATGAACACTATATGTCCACAATTCATGGCAGTTCGTGACATTGTATTATTACCAGAAACTCTACATTTTAAGGTTCTTGGAAAAGTATCCATAGAGGAACAATCCATAAACTATCCTACTTTGTATAAAGTCCAGTGAAATATAGAACGTCAGTGCAAAAGAATACCTTGTCGTGACTATCCTCACAAACAAATTCCGTTTGGTGCAAAGAGAAAAATGGCTGTAAAAATGATATAAATGATAACACCAGGTGTTCCCGATGATACCAGGTGTACTTTGTTTACACTAGTTACATCACACTTGAAGTAAAACAAATAATTCTATCCATTTACATTATTGCGAGGCACTTACATTGTCCTTAAGGGCATACAATAGGGGCATAGGCCCTTCTTATAAACGTAGAAATGCCCCAATGGCTTGTTTACTGTACATAATAATACAGGGTTATAAAAGTCAGTAGTTTCCTCTCACCTGTCAGAGATGCTTTCGGCCTGAACACAAACATGATGATGGCCAGGTACCGTGGCGTGATACAGAACCGGTTGGATGGACTGGCCACCGCTTAGTATCGGCGGCATGACGGGTAGGTTGGGACTTTGCTGCAGTAACCTACAGAATTAAACAATAATCCTCCATTTGAAACACACAACATGGGTTTGGTATTGACAAGACTCATAATGGACTTTCTCATGTAGGAGTCTCGTTCAGTTTAAATATTATTAATATATCTGCATTTATGATATTGAGAATAATGCTGAATACCTGTCTGGCAATGTAGCAATTGGAATAGGACACTGCGTTCCTAGTGTACAAGTGACCTGTGTTGGTCTTGCTGGTTTGGGTTTTGCACCTGTGAAAAAGTCAGAAGACAGTCACTGCCATTACAGACAATCTGATATCCGAACAGTTACTGGTTACACAGGCATTTTAAGTAACTGCTTGAAAATCAATTAAATGTATTATTTTTTTTAAAAACAGATTTTCTAATTGGGAGGACTTTTTCACCCATATGATGTCATCAATGTCGGAAAAGCACATAGGACTACTTCCAATTACTAAATGTGTTCTATGATAATGATAATTCGTCAGTCAGTATATATAAGTGTGTATGATCACTGTATGATGTTTTTTGTTTCATTAAAATGTTTTACCACAGCATACATAATTTCTTATAGGCTAACTAATAGCTGACAAAGGAGAATTGACATCTTGCTGGCTACAGACGCTTAACGGTTTCATATCCGTATACCTGGTGTGGGTATGCTGCCACTGGGGTCAAGCTTCGTCTCCACCTTTATGCACAGCTGTCGTGATATTAAGCTGAAAAAGGAAAGAATACCACGTAATACATTCAATATATTGCCGACTTTCGTACAGTCAACACGACCAAGCTAGAAAATAGTCTGTGTCTATTACCATTCATTGTTGATTGGTTAACGCCGCACTCAGCAGTATTCCAGCTATGTGACGGTGGTCTGTGTATAATCGGTTCTGAACCAGACAACCAAGTGATCAACAGCATGAGCATCGATCTACGCCATGGCATACGATGACATCTGTCAACCAAGTCAGCGAGCCTGACCACCCAATCCCGTTAGTCGCCTCTTACGACAAGCATGGGTTATTCTAGACCAATTATAACCCGATCTTCATGGTTCGTGTTCGTGTATATTATCAGCTGAGACAGATACTATTAGGAAAAAAAGTCAGATAACAGGTTAGAATTACATATCAGGATAATGAAAATCTGTGATAAAACCCGGTGTTTGTGAAAAGGGAAAACGTGTCCCAGCACATCGTGAAGGCATCCGTGGCTACAACTGACGTATACGTGTTTTGATACCAGGGTATTAGTTTGACTTTCAGAGCTCCTACCTTACTCCTGCACTGGCCTTCATGCAAACGTTCTTGGATCCGGGAGCTGATGGTCCAATCTGAATCTCGACATCTTTATATGATCCCACAGGTCGAACTGGACCATTGCTAAACTGACTTGTACCGACCGGGTTCACCGAGATCGGGTTTCTGATAAAACATTTTACATTTCAGAAAACTAGAAACAACAATCACTAAACACGGTCACACATTTCGGGGGTTGCCTGACACTCTGTTCAAGCAACTTGCTCCATGATTTGGTTGGTTTGCTATTTAAAGCCGCACTCCGCTATTTCAGCTATATGACGGCGGTATGTAAATAGTCGAGTCTGGACCAGACAATCCAGTGATCAACAGCATGAGCATTGATCTACGGAAATTGGGTACGATGACATGTGTCGACCAAGTCGGCCAGCCTGACCACCCGATCCCGTTAGTCGCCTCTTACGAGAAACATGGGTTGGTGAAGACCAGTTCTTACCCGGATCTTCAAGCGTGCCTGCTCCATGAATGACTAGCTTCAGCTGCTATCAATCATCAACGGTGGGCATAAACATTTTACAGTTTTCATAGTGTACGGTTTTACGCCCCTCTGTGTCACTTATATGAGCTTACAGCTTAATGTCAAGTCAAAAGTGAAGCATGTCCTAAACACGAATAATGATGAACTTCAACAGCAAAGGAACAAACAGAACAAAGCCAACCGATGAAGATTACAGCGCCCTCTACTTCCTGGTCATACACGGTTTCACCACACACACCATACACACACTATTGTTTTGGTACCCACGTTGTAACGCATGATGGCGGCTTGACAAGAACATGAATGCTGCATCCAGATGACAGACACTCTACAGAAGATGCGGCTCCGACGATCTCAGGCTGGTGGAAACAAAGACATAATTAAATGAGATACATGTAGTATACCCATGCCAATAATGGTTGTCACCCCCTTAAATTTCTTTTAATTGGAGAGGGTGTGTGTGTGGTTGGGGATGGGATGGGGGTGACAACTATTATGGGCATGAGTATATTTACTAGTAATTCCCTACATCAATGTGGAACAAGAATGATGATGATGATGATGATGGTAATGATAGTGACGATGACGGATATCGTAAGAATGTCGTAAATGATAACGTTGACCAAAAAGGACCGGAGAGGTCGTAGGCATTGGTGATGTCAAGACGTTTGCGGAAAATAATCTGTCAGTAAATATTTTTGAAAAATATAATTCCTAATACATATACAATGAATTGTCCAAAGACAAAATCTTGTTCTTCACAGATGAAAATTTCAAGGAATAATTGAGTGTCCCTCATAAATCCACAGGCTTTGGGAGCACCAAAATCTTACATTCAATCTCAAGACTATGTTGTGAGGGTGTGCACAATTTACATATTAACTGAAAGTTATGTGGGCACATAAATTAGCTGTAACTCACATGGTCATTAGGTCCGCATGGCAGATTTGGATCTGGAGGTAAAAGACAGGGATGAAATAGCTGTCTGTTCTGTGTCAGTATCTATACAGATGTCAATGAAAATCGAACGTTGACATGCGAGTGAGTGAGTTTAGTTTTACGCAGCTTTTAGCAATATTTGAGAAATATCATGGCGGAAACACCAGAAATGGGCTTCACACTTGCGATGGTAATATATTTAGTGATGAACATTAGATATGAAGACATGATATCATGAAAGGTAATACAGCAATTTCATATACGCACTGGTTGGCAGGTGAGTCTTCGTTGGGTCTTTCCCGAACGTATCTACAAAGAAGTGTTAAAAAGTTGTCAATACATATCACATCACATCACGATGGAACGTAGTGTAGCAACAAGAGATACTAATCAGGTTGGAGTGGCATGTATCATACCACGCTGGGTGCCCCACAGCATAAACATGTAGTTACAATAAATCCGATGCTATGCACATCATCGAAGCGTCAATGGCTACCATGACGTAAAGTCAAATATCATCACTAATCTCCCTCCTGTATTTTTACCTGCAAGACGACGTTTTTTTCAAATTTATAAGAAAAATGATGTTGAATTGTAAATATAGTCTTACCCTTGTGTTTTATGTTATGAAATATATATATGACTTTGATAACTTGTACGTACTTGGATTGGGGGTGACTTTTATCGTGTAACATTTTCTGTCGTGGTTGGTTCTGGAATTAAATGAACATTCGGCAATCCTTTAAGTCATTCAACTCGAATGCTCGGAATTAGAAAAGAATAGTGTGTGTTTTTGGCTGAAGCATACACCATATAGTTTATTATCATTGATTTCGAAGTATGAAAGGGAAAGAAAGGCTTGACTTTCTCTTTTACCCTACTACGAATTAAAAGGCCCCCAGCTAGTTAGCCTTGTCTGAAATGTTTTACACAATTAAAGTTTGACAACGTATTTAATGGCATATTGTTAATATCATCATAATGACGGTCACTAGAAAAAGATATAATATGTTGACGTAATTGAGCATGTATATATGAATGGAATGAAGGGCGAGAGAGGGGAGCGGAGGGATGATGTAGAGGTTACCTTGGCAACCCTACACCCACCACCGCTGGTTTCTCAAGTGTATCATCTACGACCGGTAGAATTCTGAGTATCACCAGCAAACACCAACACCATGCTCAAAGAGGCAGTCAAATCCAACACACACTGCTCGTTATGCAAACTACTCACGTCGTTGCACAGACTGTATGCTCCCCAATGTCTGTTTGTGAGGGAGTAACGGACAACGTGTGTAGATCGGGGTTAGTAGGGTCCGTTGTAACAGTGGCTGGGATCGCACCAGTCGTTGGCTGAAATCTGAAATACATACCAGTACAACAACTGTACCGCTGATCGGTGTTCCCCTCTAAACAGTCACACAGCTAATAGTCACACATCATAATTGTCTAAACATGAACATGGACGCCAGTATTACAACTGATATCAATTTGAGTGGGTAAACAGTACTGAGCCAATATGGCGACAACCTGACAGCGCGGCTAGGGTAAACTGACAACCAGATAACCAGATCAGAGAATGTAGCTACTCTGTATTATTTGTATTTTAAACCAAGGAACTTAGGTCCTGCTCCGAGGAACCAACAGGTTTTTGAAACAGAAATACTTATTTCAGGCTTAACGTCTGAGTTTTTACAAAACTGACTCTGAAACTTCCAATTCATCTTTTAACTCACCCAGTGCCAGGAATTGTTTTCATGTCGACGGAGCAGGTGGTGTCAACAGTACATGTAACGACGGAGTTGTCAGGGAGTGAAGTCGAGATTATTTCCTTCAGAAACAAAAACAAACTCGTGTAAACGTATTCAGATGTCAGTTATAGGACTGAATAAGTAAATGGATACAGGATAACGCGCCGATCATCAATATTTAAGCTGCAACACTACATTCTGTAAATATGTCGTCTGGGCCAGGTAAATCATTTTCTTACATGTTCCAGCAGAATGGAATGCTGGGGACCAATTACAATCCAGGTTCATATGAGTTCAATAATGCTCCAACAGACTAACATTTAAAATGTGTGTTCACTGATCCAGGGAGATGGGTAAGTGGGTGATTGTTGCATTAAAACGCATCAGCAAGTGTGCTGCTATTCATGAAAATCTGGAAAGCGAAAGATACCATTCTTCCTTTTTCTGTTTATGAAGTGATAAGCATTGTGTGAAAGAACCCTACCTTCGGTGTCAGGCCTAGTGCAGGCTTGGGGGCTGAAGTCAGAGAGAAGAATTAAAACAAATCTTCTTGGCAGTCTGCGTTCTCAAAATGCAAAAGGTACCAGGACTAATAAATCTTTTCCTCAATTTATTCTAACTTGTTATTCATTAATATGCCGATAATTAGGTTTTGTTCTGTTTGACTGGGTAAAACCGGATTTACTCACAATGTACAGTTTATATACTCCTGACGCATATTTTGTATTGCCAAAAAATATCCCCTGCATGAACAGACGTTAGTACAGATGCGGTGAACAGTTACAGGGAAAATATTGTCAAAGTAAATCTTACTTGAAACATGTGGTGTCGGATTAATATTTGCACACCATTCGTTCCCCTCCAGTCTGTGTGCACAAAGGAGAGTAGGACAAATGACGGTATGTAGAGACAAAGTACATCGGGACACGATCATGGAAATACATTGCTTGAAATGACGTTTATAAAACGATGGATGAAATATGGAATAGATATGAAAAAGTGGTATTTTACATAATAAAAGTCATCAAGGGAGTTCCTGGGCAGAGAAAGCTTGTAGTATGACTATTTACAGGGTTTGTAATGTCTGTTTGTTTGTATTATAACGCCGCACTCAGCTATATTCCAGCTACATGGCGCGGTCTGTAAATAATCGAGTGTGGACCAGACAATTCAGTGATCAATAGCATGGGCATCGATATACGTAATTGGGTTACGATGACATGTGTCAACCAAGACAGCGAGTCTCACATCCTGATCCCGTTAGTCGCCTCTTATGACAAGCATGGGTTACTGAACAATGGGGTGGAATTAGGGGCCTCCCAGCTTAACCTGAATGAATATATCTGGGCGACAATACGTAGACGATCGTCCTAAAAATCAAATCAGGATGGTTATAATTATGTTTTTCTCATGGTTTTAATTAACACTTTAAAAGTCTACTGACTGCATCACTGAGGATTTTTTCATCCACATAAATCTCACACGCTGTGATATAACTAATTTACTGGCAAATCATGATGTGGTCATGTCTGTATAAACATAAAGACAAGAAATTTCTTCAAAATGTTGAGAAGTACATAATCTGAGATGATACTTACGATGTAAGTTTATTCCTGACTTTGAAACACACGGGCTGGAGACCGAGTTTGGCACTATCAGGTGTTATTGGAACTTTGATGTTGAATTTCCCGTCCGGTGTGGGCGTAATGGTTGGTGTTGCTATTGGTGGACCTCTCGTTTGAACGACTTCCACACCACTGTTGAACATATACATGTATATCAATTCCGTGAACAAGATGTGTGCACGGTACTGACAGTTAACTCTATGCAAGAAAAATGAAATTCGTAATGTTTTTGCATGATATGACGCCATTTTCTAAATCTGTACCATTTTATTGCAGATAATGTCAAGTAATCTTGGCTATGTTTCTCCTGAACCCTTTCTTTTCACTACAAAATGCATTTGGTAAGGAAATCTTTGACACAGTGTCTGAGAAAATACGGATGTTGCTTAATTAATTTCCTTATTAAATATTTGCTAAAGATTTAATATGGGAATGCTATAAAGGGGCACACAAATGCAGTGTTTTCAAACCTCATTGGCCCGTCATTATTATTCAGACAATACTTCTAGAATGTTAAACAATATGTGTTTCTAGGAATATCTACCCCTGTGGATTCGTCCCTGGATCAACGAGGATGGAGATGTCACAGCTTGATGGACACGGTATTATAGTTCCGCTTGTCAAAGTTGGTCGAAGAACATGGGGCTATAAAAAGTGACGACAAGACGACGTAATTATCCAGTTGTTATTATGTACAGAACGTGAATAAACATAAAATTGCTTGTATCTACTGATGTTACCATAACTTCGGTGGCAGATGTTTTAACAATATATTCGTTATACAAAAAATCATTCAAAGTAAACAGTTGTGTCATTGTTAATAGCTTGTCCGGAAAATTATTTATTGTTCAATCATTAAATAAACAACCAAGCTATTTGGTTTTAGGGATAATAATGAGTAATAATTTAGGCTGTCAATTAGTAATGAGGAAAACGCCAGTAGTAGCCCATATAGTAGGCACGTCGCAGAATACTCAAATGATACTATCAACATATTTGACGTGCATATATCATAGGCGTTGAAATAAGAAATAGAAAAAAATATATTATTAGGAGGCTTAGTTTTAAACAGCATATATGTTATTATGACCTTTTGGTTCCCAATCGGATACACAAGAGCGCCAAATTCCAAATCTCGTTCCTAAAGCTCCTAATTCACTCTCCTAGTCGAATTCGTTGTCGTATCTATTTCCATATATACTTCGATTGATGTAGCAACCGCAACTCTGTATTTTGTAACCAACAGATGTACATAATGTTAAACCGCCTCTGTTATGTATTGGTTAGGCGTAAACCCGGAGAGCGGAAGGTCGTGGGTTCGATCCCCGGCCGCGTCATACCAAAACACGTTAAAATATGGTACTTGTTGGTCCCTGACGGGATTAATGGGCATTAATGGGTAAAACGGGGAGCTCGAGTGGTCGGCTAGGATTCAGTATAATGTGTCTGAGTGGGGTATTCATGCTTAACTGCGGCATGGTATGTCAGTGAGCAAGCACTGTAAAACCAGCTTAAGTCCGGGCTAGTACAAGCAGACACACACACACACACACACACACACACACACACACACACACACACACACACACACACACACACACACACACACACACACACGCACGCACGCACGCACACACACACACACACACACACGCATCCATGTCGTCATTATTATATGATATTTATATAGCGCACATATCCAGGCAACTAGTGCATGCTCAAGACGCTGGCGAAATATTTCATGAGCGAAATATTCTTAAGTGCGTCGTTAAAGCCCTTTTCACCTCACATAATGTTATCATCACGTGTGGCTACTGTCATTTGAAACCTCTGACCGACAAATCGGAGTTGACCATTCATTCTGAAATTAGTGTGACCGAACTCTGATGATGATTTAAGCCACATACCTTGCTAGAGTCAACACCGAGCCCAGATAAAGTGCCTAGAGAAGAAACATTCTCTTCGTTAAATATAAATGAATGAAGTAAACAGACATTTAAATTATTATACCAAACTTTTATTAGTTAAATCATTTTCCACATTAATCTCGACTTTTCGGTCAAATGTTTTCTTCATTGCCTCTTGTGTGTACGCTTTGCACGCAAATTGTGGCTCATGTTCCCTTTGAAGGAATGAGAAAACTGTCGCTCATGTATCACTCTTTCATTACCCAGTTTGTCATCTGTACGGATTGCAGTAGATTACGTATGTACCTGATAGGGTCCCCGGCATAGATGTGCCCACTGCAGACCCAGGTGGAGTTGTTAGGCCACCTTGAAAGGACGAAACAGTTGTTAAATATCCTTTTAATATAATTGTAAGTTATTCTGTGGCATTAGATTCAGTAAACAAGCAATTTTTGTTTTTCGTTTTTGTTTTAATGAATCTGAAAACAATTAGTCCACACTCAATAACAGACTACTACCTCCTGATTGGCTGACAAGAAAACGTGGGAAAGGTATGGGTTGCGTTATTGCTATGAACGGTGTTGACAGGTTCAGGGTTCTTTTCTCAAATAATTATTCTGCGAAACAAACAGTGACGTTATTACTGTTATATGTTTACTTAAAAGTATTGACTCCTTGGAGGTATTAAACTATAAACAGGTCTGCTCATGTTGCGTAAATCAGCTGTTCCGCTTATCACAGTTTGCACACTATTTTTCACTCAAATGCCTCCATGCAATAATATTAAAGTAAAATTTTATATTATGCAAAGGTTAACCTCATACATAGATCGCTGTATAGCCTAGTTATTTCAGTCTAGTAACGGTATTTTTGACGTTTAGAGATACATTTACGCTGATCATTTACTTCAGAATACGACAAACGTCTGTTTATTATCCAGAGCCTTTTAATTGTTTCTACACAGTCCAAATGTATTACCTGGACTCTGTACCTTGACAATGTAGCATCGTTTTGACGACCCGTCTTGGCTACAAGTAAACAAGTTCATTGATAACACCCAACATGTATCCTAGTTCTGTATTTATATCAAATTACACATGTCGCGAAAAAGGCGCACCAAACGCATGTTACATTAATTGTTATTTAATAGTGGAAGCCGCGGTGGCTGAACGGGTTAGACGGCTGACTTTGTGTGCCGGCGATTAGGTTCCTGACTCTGAGGGTGTGGGTTCGAATCCCGGATGGGACTCTGTACTTTACATAGAAAGAGTAATCCCAAATAACATATGTTATTATTTATCCGTGTCTTACAAAGTAGTCCAATTATGAAACTGCTTCACATTGCGCACCGAAAATCGTGCCTATTGGGTTCTGCGTTGGATCTGATGATGATCCAACATTAAGTTGACGCACTTTGATGACACAATGAGTCAAGCCTCACTCACTCGCTCACTCACTGGTCTATTTGATAGTATAACATGAGAAACTTACGTTTCCACACACATCTTATTTTCACCGATGTTTTTGTCAGTCGGTGACAATTGGATTTTGGTTTCCGCCGCAGGAGTTAGGCCAGGTTCAACGACAAGGGGGATGTTGGAGGCAATAGGTGTCTTTAGGCTTGAACATGGAAATAACATTATAATACATATGCATGTGTAATAATGCACATATAAGAAGGCGGAAAACCACGTGGAATTGTATGTTGCCTCAAGGATCATGTTGAAAATATGTTTAAACCTTACAAAGACAAGTATTTCACATCAATCTTGTAGTTTTCGTATACTATTCACGAACATTCCTCACAGCGTCCCGCTGATTACATTGAGATTAAAACACAACCTACGAGGAATTACGTAAACTCTGTCAAAAGGTGGTCGATGTTCATTATGTCAATCACTAGATATCGTGATTCAGACGTCATTGGTTACAGAATGTCGACATATAGCTTAAACATTGCGGCGTTGAACAACAAATACTTAAAATACATATATTTTCCACGTTCCTCATGTGTTCCCCAACAAAAACAACAGCAACAACCGAACAAAACAAACAACAACAACCCCAGTAGCCTAGTGTTTGCCGTGATATTGCTGGAATATTGTTAAAGGCGGCGTAAAACTAAACTCACTCACTCACAAATGTAAAATCACTGCTCCTTGACATGCCCCAAATTGGCTATGCATCACCTTAAGTAATGGTAAATGGTACATGTACTCGATGTTACGTCCACTCACCTGTGCCCTGGCCGAGTCATTACGGGGAGGGTGCAAGTAGTTCCCACAATGCACGGGATCACTGAACCGCCTAGTAATGTAGGGCTGGAGAAACCATCCTGATATTGAAAAAATGACACTTTCTATCACTAAATGTAGACATACAGGTGAACATGGCAGGTACTCATTGTCAAAGAAGAATTACAATGTCGATCGTTTCTGTTTTAAAAAGCAATCAGAAAACAGAACACACACTGTGGACTGGATAATAAAATGGGAATTGCAGAGTAAAATTATGTTGACATTGTTGATAACATTTAAAAGCTGTACATTTATCTCCTTTTAGGATTGTTTCAAATTATATAGAGGGAATTAAACTTTAATATGATCTATATTCAGTTGAACTCACTGTGGTGGAACTTGAAGCTGAAAAGAAGCAAATGTGGACCTGTTATGTCACTTGCCAATGCTGTCATTTTCCAAGATTTCGAGAAAAAAATTCAGCGCACTCCAACATGTGTTATTGATATTCACATCAACGTCAGATTGTACTTCAACCTCCAAAATTGCATACATTTAGTTGTCATCCTTTAATATAGTCTCTCTGGGGATAATCACTTGTTTAATAACAGTGCTAGCTTCTGCACCAAAATGTCTCATCTATGGCAATACAAAGGCTGTCAATACACGAAACCTATTCTGCTTCATCATACCAGTTTCTAAATGCTACTTAAACAAGGTGCGTGTAGCTGATTGAAATATTCCTCCACAGCTGGAGGGGTAAGTTCTCGGGGCTTCAATCCAAAGATACAATCCAATGGTATCATTCATACTCCATGTTTTTTCATTTAAATTCAATTTACATTTAACTATTTATTTCACTTTCTTAATTTAAGCGACATCATTTATGAGAGTGGTGAAAGGGGTTTCTAGAAAACATGTTGGTTGACGTACCAGTTTGACACTTGCTGCCCGTATGACCAGCATCACATACGCACTCTGCTGCCGTCGATTGTTTCAGACATGAACCTTGGTTGCTGCAGGATTCACCAGCACACGGATCTGACGGGTAAAGAGACATACTAAATGGCAGTTATGTCCAAATTAATTGAGGGTGTACAGTGCTAAATACAAGGATGATATTTGAAACATTGATGACTGAAGGCAAAAGAGATAATTCACACATTTTCAACTGAACATGGATTTAGCATCAAAATAAAAACAAACTGCTTATTGACTTTTCAAAAATGCAACGATGATATTTAAACAACTCAGGAATATTATAACAACATCATGCATTTCTTAAATTTCAATTTCCAGTTTCACGGATTATGTATGAGGAAAGATTTCTGTTGCCATCGTCTTAATCTATATCATACACAAGGGTGGAAGATGCACAGAATAGCACGGCGTTAAAATAATATGTGTACAGATGAAATAAAAGAACAAAAACCTGTGACTGGAGTCTTCCTTAAATCATAGCATCTGTGTTCTCCAGAAGGCCTGCAAAGATAAAGATACTTCTTTCACATGTGGTATGTCAAAATAGTGGCATTACCGTGTCAAGCATTGTGTTCCGACCTGACTTACAGGAATGAAGAATAGATAGAGCTACACATTTTAAAAGCTATAGCGGAGGAGCGTCGAAAATAACAAATTGCTAATATCTCTACTTGACCCACTATATTTCAATACATAAGTGTGTGGTTTTGACAAAATCCTACGAATAATAAAGCATCGTGACTTTTAAACTTTGTACTGGAATATCAAATGCGAAAGACAGCTCACCCTGCATCGATGCACAAGTTATTGTTTGTACTGTCTGGTTTGTATAGGACATCAGTGACACAGTCGCTTCCATCTTCAACTGTTTTAAATGTCGTGCCTATTGTCGAGCTGGAACTGACTTGTTCACTGAAATAAAAAGAACGCTCATATTTCCATGATATGTTTACAGTTCTTCTGTATCTCCATTGTACATCATATAGATGACATGGCACGGTAATAAAAGTTATACTTTTCTTGTCTATATATAAGATGATAAATAGTTTGCATGATTGTTATGGATGCATACGAGACGTTAGTTGCAATTATTACTCCACATGAAGCAATGATTTAACTATGGAGGTGGAGGTGGAGGTACAATATTTCCCCTTCTAAAAGGAATAACCCCAATGACCAATGCCACATATATAAACCTGGAATATCAATTGACGAGAAACCATTAGAACAAAAGGACTATGTATTACCAGTTTCCAGATACGGGATCCTTTGTACTGTGAACCAGGATATGGCATTCGTTTTCACATGTTAATGAGCTCCCATCTGGTAGTGTAGGGTTGGTAAAATGCGACTGAAATGAAAAAGGAACGTCCCTTAAACATTTTAAACTTGAAATGGCAATAAAATAAGACAACCCCTATATAATTTACCCTATTTTAGAACTAACTTGCAAGATAACTATCAAAGCTCACCTAAAACGCAACGCTTTGAACAAAGTTCATATCATAGTTGATGGCTCCATATACGGAGACATTTAAATTCAATACAGTTCAATCCAGTTCGCTGTAACAGGATCAGCAGATCTGCAGATATTTATGCATGAACAGTAACGGGTTTTCCAAAAGTAGAAGAATACTTCATCATCTGCACATCCTATTTTTGACCTTTGAGGCATAACAACCTACCCCTGTCGGATTAGGAGTTGTAAGTCCGACGTCAGTGACATCTACGTTGTAACAAACTGAGTCAGCTCTGTAACAAGACAAACATAGGAAACACTATAACGGATTGCATGCTCTGAAGCACAGGTCTTCAAAAGAGCTACTCTCAAGGCAAGGATATGTAGTGTAGCAACAGAAGCAGCATCATGAGTAACAGAACTGCCTGCTGCTAAAAGTGTTTTGAACGTTAAGGTACTGACTTGACGACACACTTACGTTGCAGATGTCAGCTTAAAGCAAACTTTCTTTGGTCCTTTATCTGGAGACGTCAGAGTAACCGGCGTCGTGTACAGACCAGGTACACCCGTGGCAGTGTCCAGTTTGGGCGTCGGATCCACACTGACACCCACATTACCAGAGGTAGGTCCTGGTGTAAGTGTCGGTGCTGTATGACTGCTCAAATACATTAAATATGCACTTGTCAGTTATCTATCGATTACACCTCAAATTCTCTACTGTTTTATCGTCTTCACAGAAAGGCACTGTATCCTTTAATCTGCATATAACTTGTTATTATTAAAGATGTACTATAGGTATAAACCTTCATCACATTTTACATGTAGTTCATAACAAATTGATAAAGACCCTAAAAGAAGCCAATTAAGTGACTGGTGAAACATATATCCATGTAAAATGTCCAAATTACCTTCCACCAGGGGCTTGTGTATGCACTGGAAAGACACATGGTGTGTCCTTTACACATTTAATTGTGCCTCCATTTTCCATATTGTTGTCTGCATATTTCGGCTGTTGAATAAAAGCAATTAAATAACATACCAAATAACATGTTTAAAAGGGGCGGTGATACCGTCAGCAGATGAAAGAGTACTTGTTCAAAGTCTCTCTTAGTACATCGAAAGCTTTTCCTTTAACAAAATCAGTATACACTCACAATTCCACCAAATACCAGGTATCATCACTATTGGATACTGATTCATAAACGTATACATTTAATGATGACGAAATTGTACAATGGACTCAGCTTGAAACAGAGCACTTTTCCACTACGGAAAAGTTTTATCACTTTAAGTTATTGTAAATGCACATTAAACGTACAGTAGAAACAACTAATCAATCTAGGGAATGCGTTATTTAACATGTGGTAGGTTTCCCAATCAATTCAAACTTACAGTGCTTCCTGTGTTAGCTGATGGTCCTACAAAGAGAAATCATTGATACAAATATGTGTGCATATATGTACTATGTACTTACGAAAGTGAACAGAAAACAACAACTCATCATATGATATGCTATGAAGGAAAGCACCCTACACAAATGCCTTAGAGATATAGTCGACAAGAAATTTTTTGAAGACTGCAAGCAAATTCTGTTGAATACATTTTCGTATACCTATTTCTGTATGTGAAAGAACCAATATGTAGTACAGGATGAATACTAAATCAAATTTGGTAGACTTGAACAATTATGATTCTCTAACCAAATTGACACGTTGGTCCGGTGTATCCCAGGGGACAGTCGCAACTACTTGTGGTTGATTGCAGTATCCCTCCCGAACTGCAGGGGTTAGTCGTTGTTGCTTCAATTCAAAGGTAAAAACAGTTTTCAGAGTTCAATTCAAAACAAGGCAGTCAATCATAACCATGTTTTATCATTCAAATTCAAATGAAAATTTTATTTAACTTATCTGCCATAATTTATGAAATGGGTCTTTGGGCATATTTACGCTGGTATAAGTATATTGAAGGGTTTTGTATGATGTTTTAAGGTTCATTGCAAACTTACAACACGTTAATCACCCCATGGCAGTACATGTGGCATAAACACCATTGCTAGTGATTCATAAACAGATCGTAAAATGGACTCTGCCTTCAGTACAGATTGTTTGAGTACCCTACGCTATTAACCAGCTTTCATGTTACACTGAATTTATCAAAGTCATCTTTATTGTTGTATAGCATTATGCATACCCAGACTAGTATTGGCAGCATCAGTCTACATATAAAAAATGTAATCATCACCACCATAATTGTTATAGAATATACTGAGTGAATGAATGTCGGAAGCATACGCCAGAGGGACCATATACATTAAGATATAATGGGAATTTCGACAACCATTCACAAAACAAATTCAAACATACGTTATATTATCATGTATTAAATACCTCATGACATATAAATTCCTGTATACGAATTTCGTGCAAGAAATGATATTACGTAAATGCTGATTTATATATGGATGTAGCTGATGATGTATAAGCGTCATCGTACCATCGTGTGGTCCATGTATGATATTGTTTATCTTTGTGGACTCCATTATTGACGGACTGTTGTGATGAGGTTGACTGACGGTACCGATAATTCACAACATATTATGTACTATGTCTGTATGTAATCTTAAAACAGCGATGTGTTTACTGGTTCATACTTTCTAATGTTAAATGTCTAGTCCAGACTATTGACTTGTCACTGTGATATAGGTAAGCTTTATCCACTAGGTGACTTCTTAATATGTACTCTGCCTGTCTGATGCGGATATACACACAAGACCTGTGTGTGGCGGATAAGGAGTGACGGAGATCTCCGTTACACTGTGATATAGGTAAGCTTTATCCACTAGGTGACTTCTTAATGTGTACTCTACCTGTCTGCAGCGGTTATACATACAGGGCATGTGTGTGATGGGTCCGGGGTGACGGAGATCTATGTTACACTGTGATGTAGGCAAGCTTTATCCACTAGGTGACTTCTTAATGTTTACTCTGCCTGTCTGTAGCGGTTATACACACAGGGCATGTGTGTGATGGGTCCGGGGTGACGGAGATCTATGTTACACTGTGATGTAGGCAAGTTTTATCCACTAGGTGACTTCTTAATGTTTACTCTACCTGTCTGCAGCGGTTATACACACAGGGCCTGTGTGTGATGGGTCCGGGGTGACGGAGATCTCAGTTACACATGTGGTTGGAGCTGACGGCGGATCCTTGTGTGTCGGGAACACGTGAGTATCTTGTTCCCTGGTGGGCGCTTTGGTTACGGTGGGGCTTATGAAAAAAAGAGCACATAACTATAGGAAAACAAAGGGTGCATTATCAGCACACATTCTGCAACCATTCGTCAAATATGTAAAACCTGACACACAGTAAACCACGCTTATATCGAACATACAACTGAACTGACGGATATTACGAACTGTTTTGTCCCGACCACTAGCTGTATATCTTAATCAAAATGAACTACGGTTATAACGAACTAAATTTAGTGGTCGCTTTGACATCGTTATAAAGGTAGTTTCCTCTATGTATATTTACTAGTGAGTTTAGTTTTACGCCGCAATCAGCAATATTACAGCTATATGACGGCGGTCTGTAAATAATCGAGTCTGGACCAAACAATCCAGTGATCAGCATCATAAGCATCGATCTACGCAACTGGGATACGATGACATGTGCCATCCAAGTCAGCGAGACTGGCCACCCGATCCCGTTAGTCCCCTCTCAAGATGAGCATGGGTTACTGAAGATCAATTCTAACTCGGATCTTCACGGGTCGTATATTTACTAAAATAACGAACTGCCCCCGTCCCAGTTTACCTACCAGGTACTTCCTGTAGGTTTTGTGTATACCAGAACATGACAGTCTTTCAGTTTGTCACACTGGAGAACACTGTTGTCGGGCATCGTGGGAGACATGAAGGGCTCCTGTTAATAACAGTAAACATGTGATACAATCATTAAATCACACAGATCAGACCCGATCTTATCTTTAAGCATCCTAACAAGACGCACATTTACGAAAGGTATGGAATTACGTATTTTTTAATGAGCTAAGGTGTGCCTATGCTCTGACTTACCTTGTTTGGAACAGTTGGGGTACCTGGAACAGGAAGGAAGTTTCGAATATGTCCATACAAAAGGTAAAGTTATGGATATAGTTTTAAACTCACAATACACACTACACAGTACACAGGCGAAGCATCATATCTTACTTTTCTAATATACCAAGAGAAACAAGCACATGCACACGTTACACATATTTACCTGATGGCGTTTTCACATGCACCTTAACACATATCGTATCTGATTTCCTGAAACACAAAATAAAAATATATTTTATAAGTGTTTGTGGGATGGGGTTGTGTGTCGTGTGTGTATATAAGTGAGGGGGGTGGAGGGGGAAGAATGTGTGTATCGCGTAGTGATGAATGCTTTGCTTTTAATAAGTAACTTTGGGGATCTGATAATACTTGGGCAGGTAACATTGAGTCTGATAAAACCAGTGTCTGTTGGGGCTTCACCCTACATCAAGCTGCTATGCAGTGATGTTACTGTTTTAACCAAACTCACAGACTCACACTCACGGTTAAAGATGGGTTATGCTTCAAGTATTGCTGCCTAACTTGGACCAAACCATGAGAATTAGCATTGTCATGTTGGAGATGACACATTGCGCAAATAGGGTGAGCAAGTATTATTGATAGTTGGATCTACATTATAAAGATGACTTGGCATTCAGTCAAATGGTATTTTTGAACGAATAGAGTTGCTAAAAGACAGCTAGGAGAGCCAAATAGACGTGTATAGCAATGGTAAATGAGAGAATGAGGGAGAGTCAAGATGTTACATCCAATGATCTAATAGTGAATTATGAACTTTTATATTTATGTTATCCGCAATTTGATTGTTGGAAAGACATTAATAAGAAAAATATCCGTAAATATTAAAAACCCACCCGAAAACAATTTTCTCAGCTTTTACCTACCCTCCAGCACTGGTCTTTACACACACATCGTGGTTGCCCGGATCTGTCGGTTTGATCTGCACTTCCCCTTTCTGTATGCCGGTATTGGGCAAGCCTGGATCAGGTGTCAATGGCTTTGATATTGTCGGTGTTGACGATAGGGTGGTAGGACCTGGACTTAGTGATGGGGTAGATCTGGTTCCAAAATGAGAACATACACGCAGTAAGTACTGGCCTCCATATGAATATACGGGGCACATCAGTTTAGGTATAAATGCAGGAATTGTTACTGTTAAGTGTGATATGGCCCTGTTTGGAGTTTGACCGTTAGTCTTAGTAAAGATAACGTAGAGCTGAGAAACCTATACTTTCTGTCAGATACTTCTATAAGTTTATATCATGTGAACCCGTAAAGATTCGGGTTAGAATTGAACTTCAGTAACTCATGCTTGTAAGAGGCGACTAACGGGATCGGTTGACACATGTCATCGTATCCCAGTTGCGTAGATCAATGCTCATGCTGTTGATCACTGGATTGTCTGGTCCAGACTCGATTATTAACAGACCGCCGCCATATAGCTGTAATATTGCTGAGTGCGGCGTTAAATAACCAAGGAACATACCCTGTGGTTTCTGGTTTGACGTATACAGGTATGTGACAGGTCTGCCCTAGTTCACATTCCACGGTAGCGCCATTCAATGGGCTCGGCCCGGTAAACATCGGCTTCGATGGGTTAGGTATGGCTTAAGGACAAAACAAAAATGCATCAATTTGACATACCAATATTGAACAGTACTATGTCTATATTGAATCTCAGGTATCAATATCACAGCTATTTTATTGGATTAGTGTCATATAATCATTAACCGACACTGCATATGTTAAACCCACCTGTTTCACAGTTCAGGCCCGTAAATCCCGTCGGACAGTGGCATGTCCCTCCCTCAAGAACACCGTGGTGTTCACAGGGATCTATAAAACCGTTATCACACTTATGAATTATATTGTAATGGTACAAACAAAATGAATGTCAGCTAAACGATCAATATTTCAAAAGGACATGATCAAAATCTACTGTTATCAATAAGTGAAAAAACACACACTGAAATAGAACATTCATAGCTCGAAAAACTAATCAGTCGTTATCTGTATTGAAATGCTGACCGCAGGTAGGTCCATTGGTATGACTGTCACAGAGGCAGCTAGCTGCGTCATTTTTCTCCAGTATACATGCACCATGAATCTTATTACAGCCCTTGGGGGAACATACATCTGCAAACGAAAACCAAGTAATTATATATTTCAAAGATATCTTGAAAGTGAGTGAGTGAGTTTAGTTTTACGTAATGTTTTTAGCCAGAAATGGGATTCAAACGTTATACCCATGTGGGGACGAGCGAACGCTTTAACCACTAGGCTACCCCCAACGCCCCTGATCGCTTTGTACTGTGTGATATGGAAATATATCAAAATAGAGGTCACAGTGTTTCCAAAACATATTGCTCACACCTGTACTTCATGGTAATATATTAAAAATATGATAGATCCATTTTCAAACCTGGTGATGGTGTTGGTTTGGTGGAAAAACATCGTGGTTGTTCTCCTTTCCTATAGAAGAAACAGAAAATGTGCATTGCAAACACTTCAGCTTGAGGTCACAGCATGATACATGTTGAAGTGAATACTGCGTGTTTGCCATTTAAATTCTACCCAAATCAAACATTATATATATATATATATATATATATATATTACCGTAGTTCCTGTAGCTCAATGCTACAGGTGCTCCTAGAAACTGAAACCCAATCAGTTTGGACTCAATCGTATTAAATGTGT